TGCACGCTTACACAACACACATGAAGGTACGTCCTTAAATGACCTTAGCTTTTATTAGGACGTTAAACAAATAAAACCAGTCCAACTGCAGTTCTATAGTACTTTATGGTATGATGCAGGTACTATTATTATTCTCTTATGTGTGTGTCTGTCCAGGTGCATGTGTGTGTCACTATGTAAGGGTGTGACCATGATTGTGAATGCATTTTCTTCTCTTTCAATAGTGTTGAATTGTAGGTGCATTGTTCGTTATTTCTGTAACTCTTCATTTCTGGAGGAAATAAAGGAAATAATAATAATTTAATGGTGGATGTTAAGATATCACATGGCTATTAATATAACCGCAAAGATAAAAAGCTCAAAGCATCTAATGACTTTAACCCTTTCATCACTGTAGACCAAAATGGACTCTTCCATATCAATGCATGGTAGAGTCTACAAAAGTTACATAGGGTTGAAAGGGTTAAGTGTATATTTTAACTCACGAGGGGGTTGACCCTAGACATGCTGGTAGACTACCAAATCCACGGACATGACTGTAGCCTTTTGGCTAGAATTTACTCGCGGTTTACATACAATACAAACTTAAGGATATTTCCTGTCTTGTATCCAAAAGTTATGAAGTAGCACTGTAAGGCGTTTGATAGGTACATTTTCTTTTTACTGTATTCTAATGCATTTGGGATGTAACACGACATTTGATTGGTCAACCACGATATACCGTCCGCAAATTGTTCATTTGCATATAAAGCCCGGGTTGCGATTGTAAATGAAGTCGATGACCCCGACTGACCCCGAAATGTTAGTGTAGTGGTAGGGCGCCGGGCTCGTGAAAGAAGGGTTACGGGTTCGAGTCACGGCACGGTACTGTGTTGTACCTTTGAGCAGGATACTTTTCCCCGCTTGTTCCAGTCTAGTGTGTGGTTGGGCAGTGCTAGAATTGTTAAATGTTGCAAAGGCCCTATAACCACGGATAATAATTTGTGAACCGCTTTGAGACAACCTATAAACTAGATTGTAATAAAGCGGTATATAAGAACCTCAAATTATTACTTTTATTATTATTTCTACTTTACTACCATAAATGAGTCCTAATTGCACGAAATTACAATATAACCTTACAACGGGTTTTCAGTGTTAGTCTGGCAACCGCCAAATTCATCACCAAATAATAAAAAAAAAAATGAATATTTTAACATCAATTTTACGATGAAATCAGCAATATCTTTTATCTACCGGACAAGTGGTATATATCTCTTAAATGAGAAAATACCTTCAATATTATGTACCAGATTTCTAGCTTAACGTATAAATGCATTCACACGTCTTCGAAAGTGAGATTGTATTAGCATTGATCATTCTGATTTATCCACCAAACACCAGTAATTCTCAAACGTCGTTACTCTAGACTAAACATCGATTTAATGAATTACATAGAATTTTAAAGACTTAAAAATATAAGATCGTGAACGATTTTTCTGAGAATTTGACATGCTAGTGAGGCTCTATTCGTGGTCCTGACGAGTTGAAAGAACTCTGAGAATTTTATGGATCTCAACTAGCTAAAAAAGAATTCAAGATTCATTTCACATGTCTTTTTTAACAAAAATGATCAGTAAGCCTCACCGTCTTATCTTTTTGGTTTGGTTTAATTTTGTTTAACGTCCTATTAACATCTAAGGTAATTTAAGGACGTGCCTCCGTGAGTGTAGTGTATGCGTACTTGCGTGTGTGAACATATATGTATGTAGGAGACAGGGTATGTTGGTACCTTTTGGCTATTGTGACGTAATTCAGATCATGACGTCATGTACATTGTGACGTCATCAATATTATATAATTTTGCCAGGAAGCTTTGAAAGTCATTTGATATGCATGTACAATCATATCACTGGTTTTAAAACGAAGCTGTTTATGGTAATTTCTTAAATATGTGTAAATATCATAATTTCTGATCGGAATGATTTCGTCGGGAATGTTGATTTCGAGAATAAGATGCACATTTTAAATAATTTCGAAATAATTAATCGGTATCACCATCAATAGTATAATTGCTTCAGTGTACCACGTAATGAATGATACTTTTCATTACCAATTCAAGCACTATTTTCACTCGGCTTCTATCCCTGTTCCCATGTCCAGTATTTGGGACAGTAAGCATAAAATAACAAGAAATTGCGGTTAATAATCTTCTTCTTTTTTAAAACGACAACATATTTAAAAGTTTTCAATTCGAAGAGTTTTTCTATCGTTTATTTTCTTACCGAGTGGAAAATACAAATTTATCGCAAACTTAGGGCTATTTCAGACGCTATATACCTAACATAATCACAAACTACTACAAAACCGGCACAAAATGTGTTGCACCTATCTTAAACACGTAACGTGCATTGACCCTATAGGAAACATTAAGGGCGATATGATCAAAAGGAGGGAGGATAAGTGCAACTTTATTAGGTTTCGTAGACAGAAATATTTTGTTGCACAAAGTATTGTCAGCTTCAAGAAACAAAAAATAATTTCAAATAGTTGTTTGTTTACAAATTATACCGTCTTCGTCATGTTTTGTATATGATAATATAAAATAGAAGTGTTGATACGAGAAAAATACACTTTTCTTGTTGATTTTAAAATCAGTTTTCATATAACGCGAAATTATTTTTGATTTCGATCTAACCTTGACGTGCTATTACACCAGGTAAACTGAATTCGCGGTGATTCATTCGTATGATTTGTTAGCTTAACAGCAGAGTATAATAATTTTAATAACATCTATATCTTTTGTACATCCAAGTTCAAACTTGTACCTTCATAATTAATTATTCAGTGACGTCTCCATCATATTTTGCAACATATATATATTTACATTAGCTTTGGCAGTATTTAAAAATAAGATAACGATGATGAATTTACGTCAGGTGCTTTGAAGCTGATTGATCTTCATGTAAACGAGTTTTTAGTGCGGAACATATCCCATAGAAAACGGTGGGAATGCATGAATGTCGTTATTCAGTTGCGCAATTAAAAACGTTACTTTGTAAATGCTTCAATAATTAATTTATCATATTTCATGCATTAAAATAAAATACTAGTAATAACATTTTTATTACTTTATCCGTGGTCAATGGGTATATTATTCGCTAAAAATTAAGTTTATGAATGCAGGGGAAAAATCTCATCAGCTTCAGATAACGTTTTGATAAAACCCATGTCGTATGCATCTACCGTTGATGAATGTGTTCTGCTATGCATGCATATAACCGTTAATTGACTTCCTCGCTGGCTATCTAAGATTATGTATCGTCTAAGGGAGATAAATTAAGTGTAATGTAATTGGGTAAGGCCAGACTGGGGATAAAATGTTTTCTGTTATGAGTAGGAACTTTCGTTCAGAAATTTTCCCGCTGATATAAATGGTAAACCATGGACATATATTGCGGTGTTGTGTTTATCTTATAAATCAGGTATTGTCATAAAATGTCACATTCATATGATAAACTAGATAGTAAGAGGTATTATTTATCTGTAAAATAATGTATTAAGACGATCTATGTATCTTATGAATCTGAATGTATTGGGATGTAATGTTTATCTGATAAACAAGGTATTAAGACGTACTGTTTATTTGATTAACCATCTATTATGACGTAAGGTTTATCTGATAAACAAGGTATTAAGACGTAATATTTATCTGACTAACCAGGTTTTGAGATTTAATGTTTATCTGATAAATCAAATACTAAGATGTGATGTTTATTTCATAAATCAGATATTGAGATAAAATGTTTATCTGGTAACTCAGGTATTAAGACGTAATGTTTGATTGATAACTCAGGTATTAAGATGTAATGTTTAGCTGATCAACTAAGCATTAAGACGTAATGTTTATCTGATAAATCAGGTATTAAGATGTTCTGTTTATCTGATCAACTAAGCATTAAGACGTAATGTCTATCTGATAAATCAGGTATTAAGATGTTCTGTTTATCTGATCAACTAAACATTAAGACGTAATGTTTATCTGATAAATCAGGTATTAAGATGTTCTGTTTATCTGATCAACTAAACATTAAGACGTAATGTTTATCTGATAAATCAGGTATTAAGATGTTCTGTTTATCTGATCAACTAAACATTAAGACGTAATGTTTATCTGATAAATCAGATATTAAGATGTACTGATTATCTGATCAACTAAGCATTAAGACGTAATGCCTATTTGATTGAATAGGCATCAAGATGATAAATATGAATGTATTGGGATATCATGTTTACCTGGTAAAGCATTTACATGTCTTGAAATGTTTAGTTTTCTAAATGTGTATTTGATAACCCACGGAAAGGTTTTGAACTGTAATCTAGTCGCTGTTTTATGTTTTGTTTTTTGTTTTGTTTTCTCAATATGTGAATGTTTACATCTAATTTAAGTAACACCCAGAATCTTATAACTCATCAAATAATTAAACTCCTCATAACTTCATGGACAACTGTATAGTTTTCCTGAGATGAGATTCATCTTAACAAAAGCATTAACGATGCAGTGATCTTTCCAAAATCTGTTGAAAATGATACAAATCCTGTGGTAAGGTCTGGCCAGATTTGAATGTGAAATCCTTAATTGCTTAGCGTGCACGTGGGGTCCTGTAGACCGTAATTATGAAGTGAAAAACGCTTCTTATATTTCAGTTGTGAAGATACTTCTATAGCTCCTGCTTGACTTGCTATATATTCTTTGAATGCAATGAGGCTTTAAAAAGAAAAAGAGAAAAAAAACACCCGATCGTTAACTGGTTATGACCTTCAAGCTCTGCACGTGACAACAGTAAGAGTTTAAGAACACAATCCAGATCCAATAAACGTTTGCACGATTATACGACAATGAATAATTTAGTTTAATATATCTCGTTCTTAACTAAGTTTAACGGACTTCGATCAATCTACATTGTAATTACAAACTCAAACACATAAAAGAAACAGCGAGATTGTACAATGTCACTTACCTTATGCCGGTTGTACCTTCGTACTCGCTTAAATAAAGTCCTCGTAAGTCTTTGTACATGGTTCCTTTGAAAGTGCCAATTTCTATGACGTAATATCCGGTTAAAGAGAGTTCCTCCTCGAGAATAATCACCCAGAATTGTGTTTTCCACGCATGAAACTGTCTTTGTACATTATAAACTACACTATTGTCCAAAGACCTAACTTTCACCGAGTCTTTCACAATCCATAAAGCGTTGATGTGTAGAAGAAGAATTTTCTTTGGCGCCGAAGTTTTCACAGTTATATTGACACTACCTTTAAATGTTCTGTTTTCCAAATCAATCCTGAGAAATAAATCGTATCTTTCCGGAAGTATGTCGTTCGGTAATCTAATTTTATCCCAAGGTCTTACGGTTTTTTCTGGAACTAAAACTTCAGTGATATTAACTTTTTCTGGAATTGTCGTATTATCGGATGCATTTTCAACACGAGTTAAATTTTCAGCAGAAACAGAATTGGTTTCATTTTGAACACCATCCGATTCAACAGACACACCGGAAGTAGTGTAGTCGATTTCCGGATTACAATGTTGTAGCGCCCCAGGTGACGACACGTGAACTATTTGTTCTTTCCTCACAAATGTTAAAAGCAACACTACAAAAATAATGGAAAGAGCAAATGCTACTGTAAAAATGGCGACTTGCACGCGCGTAAAATAACATCCCTTCCGGTTCTGACGTAGCGTCACCATGGTATCCTGGGTAACGGGTATGGTCGCCACCTGCCCGTCAGTGACTCCGGGAGGAATTGCACTTCCGTTCCCTATTCCCGTTAGGTTGCCATTTTCCTCCATTGTTACTCGTTGAGTAGAACACTAGTCTGACTCGACAATTATTAAGCCCGACAGTGCATCGTTATTGACAGTAATTGGTGTTGGGTGAGTTGTCCTGCTACCCTGAGCATGCACCGTCCTCGCTAGTGTACAACTGTCGGGGCCCGATCGGCGCACACACTTCAGCGGCCCTAAACACTCCACTGCCAATTGACTCCGACAGTCTGGGCGGCCTTCTACATAACAATTTGTACAGAGACTATATCCAAGCCCTTCAAACGTTACGAAGAATTAGACCAGGAAACATTCAACTATTTGTAGTGTTACCGAGTAGGATACACGTCCAATCTCGTCAACTGTTAGGAGGTTTTATGTTAAGAAAACAACTTGCAATAATTCTATATATCACAGTCAACTGCTATGAGAAAGTACGCCGAGAAAAAAAATTCAGACCTAGTTTTGCCGTTAACCCTATTGCACTGTATATCTCCGTAAATGTATGTTACGGGGAATACAACACAGAAACACCGACCTATTTCCAATGTTACCGATTGAAGCCTATTTCCTACCTAGAACGAACAGCAAATATGCGCTCACCCAAAAAATATTGTATCGAAGTGTGTTCATAAGCGTTTAGCTATTTGTGTCATAACGTTTTTTGCTTCTAGTTAAGAAAAAAGTCCATATAAGTTGTGTTATTGATCAAAAGGAAGTTACTTTTAAAACGTCATTAGATGTAGAGAAAATATGTTGTCGCTGCATGTGGCACGTGCCAGCTTGGTATTCTATATCTCGCCCGAATACAAATTAAACGAAACGAGGAATTATTGCAATCAAAACAGGTCGCTTGATACCGAATCTGATATGGAATCCGTGTCTTGTCACTACTACAAAAACTTCAACTGTTAGGAAACACGTTTATAAAACGTGAACAAAATATATGGGATGATATTATTCCACGAAAACATTACGATATCCGATTGGTGTTAATGGCGCGATTACTCAAACTGGAAGGACGTCCAATAATTTTCAGCGTTGTCTTGTCGGGGCAGTTAGTGTAACAATTGCAAGAAAAAATGAAAGTAACAAAATAACGGTTTCTATTGTAATCTTTTAACGAAGCCCTACTAAAGGTACTGCATATGCATTTTTTTTTTTAAATCAATAAGTGACAAAACAAAAATCTATTTTTTTCCAATATGCAAAAAAAGTTCAAAGAAAACTCTGCTTAAACACAGGAACTTGAATACGAACAACCTTTAAATTTGTTATGAATCACACATTCAATGCTGTTTGACATCTTTCCAGGAAGAATCTGTACAAATGCGACGCAGTTTCTGCGCAAACAATTTTCGTCTGCAGACAATCTATACAACAATACGTTCAATTTATTTCCCAATGATAAACTTTTTTTAAGAATCTTTGAAAAAAACCAAAAGTTTTTGAGTAGTTTATATATATTCCTTCAAATTCACGGAAATGCTGGTATGAAATACATACATACCAAACCAATCTCCCTCCTGGAGAAACGCCTGTCTACCATACGCGAAGGGGCTCCTTACTATCCAAGCTGGTAGTTTCCAATATTACCGAGATTTATGCGCAAAAACACAGATTCAAGTAAAAAATCTCCAATATATTACCCAGAAGTGTTTTCAAAATCATAAATGCCAAGGTCTTTCTGGGGTTTAATATCTCTCTGAATCGTATATATCTCCATTCCGTTAAAACCTTTGCGTTTGAATGCCTTACACGTTCCACACGGCTACGTATATGTACATGCTATGAGTTTAGCGTGCAGTCTTACGTATTGGTCGTATATTTAAAGCTCCCCGATAAGGTAAACAATCTTCTGAATTACCGCTCTTAAGCGTCACTGCGGTAGAATTATATCAGAATTTCCAAATTACATTATGTCACAAATAACGTTACATTTTGAAGAAAAGCATGTCTTTCATAGGCAAATCCGTTTCTACTGTGAATCTGGGAATAAATTTGAATGTAGATCAGCGCATCTTTTCACAATTAATCGATTTGTGTTTTAAATTCACTTCCTAGGCGCACTCGTCTTTCCGCCCCGATGTTGCTGAAATATATGAAAATATACATATTTATACCAATTGATATGAATGACTTCCAGTCGCTGGTGCATTTAACACAAGCAAGGTTATGGTCCATTGACTTTCTGTCAGAAGTGAGGTATTTTAAGATCTATTTACACTAATGTATATGAATAAATTTAATTCTCTACTGTTTTAAACACGACAGAGGGTGAGGTTACAGTTCAGAAACTTTTGTTCAAAAATTGAATTATTTTAAGAACCAATGATGCTTATCTTAAATGTCATTAACCTCGCTGATGAAAAGGCACTCTATTGTAAATTAATGAAAGTTCATATTTTGAGCCATTTAACATAAAAAACATGTTTTGAAATATTTTTTATCGATTCTTCACGGACCATTTAACAAATGATGTCATATAGAGGCTAAACAAGATACATGTAAACACACAACATAAAATCTTAATCATAAGTGTTAAATCATTAATATAAATAACTGTAGCATGACAAATTATAATATATCATATGTTAAAGTAAACAACATGCTTCAAACAGGAATTAATAAAAGGGGGTACGGATATACCTTCTGATATACAGATATTTTCCCTGTCCTTTATTTTATTTCACATATTGGCATACAACACTAAATTTAACGTATACAATAAATACTTTCCCGAAGGGCTGCTCCTAAATAAATTGTATATACACAATCACAATTTGTTAAGACCATTCTTTAATGGTCGACACAATTTCCCCCTGCACCGAGAGTCGAACCCGTGCCCAATAGTACATTGTATTCAAACGGTGTCAATCGCCCTAGACTATACGACCAATCCGAGCTGTCAATTACGCTATACCTTCCTGTACGACCAACAAGGGCTGTCAATGGATCTAGACCTTCCTGTACGACCAACAAGGGCTGTCAATGGATCTAGACCTTCCTGTACGACCAACAAGGGCTGTCAATTGATCGAGACCTTCCTGTGCGACTAACCGGAGCTGTAAATTACGCTTGACCTTGCACCCAACAGTATCTGTAAAACACTCTAGACCTTATGACCAGCCCAATCTGTCAATTACGCTAGACATTACGACCAACCAGAGCTGTCGAATGCGTTAGACCTTACGACCAACCAGAGCTCTCAAATGCGCTTGATCTGAAGACCAACTTGATCTGTTGATTACGCTAGACCTAATGACCAACTGGAGCTGTTGATTACGCTAGACCTTACGACAAACTGGAGCACTCAAATGCGCTAGACATGACGACCAAATGGAGCTCTCAAATGCGCTAGACCTTACGACCAACTTGATCTGTCAATTACGCTAGACCTTACGACCAGACCTAGCTCTCAAATGCGCTAGACCTTACGACCAACTTGATCTGTCAATTACGCTAGACCTTACGACCAACTTCATCTGTCAATTACGCTAGACCTTGTGACCAACCGGATCTGTCAATTACGCTAGACCTTACGACCAACTCGATCTGTCAATTACACTAGACCTTGTGACCAACCGGATCTGTCAATTACGCTAGACCTTACGACTCATCCGAGCTGTCAATTACGCTAGACCTTACGACTAACCCGAGCTGTCAATTTCACTAGACCTTACGAACAATCGGATTTGTCAAATACTCTAGATCTAAAGACCAAAAGGATCTCTTAAATACTTTAGATTTAAAGAAAGGCCCGACCTGTCAAATACGTTAGACCTTATGGTAAAGAGCGGCCGAAGCTGCCAAGTGCTCTAGATCTAAAGAATAGCCCGGGCTCAATTTCAATTGCAATTCAAAATTATTACCAAATGCACATTGCATATAGGTGTACAGAAATATACATATAGATAAATACTTTACAAATATCTTGTACAATGGCGGATAACATATGCAATAGATTCAATTCAATACATAATAATTACAAATTCATGAAATAGTCATAAGTTTGGGAAAACTTTAAGCATTTCCTAAGGTAACTTAACGGACTCCTATGAAGCATAATTTAGTTGTTTATTTCTAGGAAATAACAAAAACTTCAAAGTCAATCATACAACCTCAACACGAAGGTAGAACGAGTACTATATTATATAATGAAATGAGATTATAACTCATTGTGAAGTAAAAGACATATATCTCAATCGCATTATACAGTAACAAAACGTTTATAGCGAGACTTTGATACAGTTTATATATCATAATATACGACATCTCTTAACAGCCGCTTGAATCAAGTATTACTTAAATTTCTAATAAGTTTAAAAAAAATGCTAGACAGTAGCTCTATTAATTTAAAAACAGAAGGACGAATACGATAATATGTCTTGATATACAATACTCTTAATTCTAAAAATACAGGACACATAAGAATGAAATGAAACTCATCTTCGACATCTCCTAGATCACATGAAGTACACAATCTCTGGTTTCGAGGCACTGCGTTATATCTACCTGTCTCTATATTAAGGTTATGTACTTTCAGTCTATATTTCGCAAACGCTCTAGATTAAAAAAAAAAACACCGAGGATGTTAAGCGTTAGATCTGACGACTGACCGGGGCTGTCACATGTTCGAGATAAAACAACCGACTAAAGCTGTCATTACAGCTGTCAAACACTATAGACTTCACGACACATTACAGCTCAATCAAACGATAAAGACTTCACGACACATTACAGCTCAATCAGATGATATAGACCTCACGACACATTACATCTCAATCAAATGCTATAGACATCACGACACATTACAGCTCAATCAAATGCTATAGACTTTACGACACATTACAGCTTAATCAAATGCTATAGACTTCACGACACATTACAGCTGTCAAACAATATAGTCATCACGACACATTACAGCTCAAACAAACACTATAGACTTGACGACACCATCACGACACATTACAGCTCAATCAAATGCTATAGACGTGACGACACGTTATAGCTGTCAAACACTATAGACTTCCCGACACATTACAGCTCAATCAGATGATATAGACCTCACGACACATTACATCTCAATCAAATGCTATAGACATCACGACACATTACAGCTCAAACAAACACTATAGACTTGACGACACCATCACGACACATTACAGCTGTCAAACAATATAGACATCACGACACATTACAGCTGTCAAACACTTTAGACATCACGACACGTTACAGCTGTCAAACACTATAGACTTCACGACACATCACAGCTGTCAAACACTATAGAATTCACGACACGTTACAGCTTAATCAAACACTAGAGACTTGACGACACATTACAGCTGACAAACAATATAGACATCACGATACATTACAGCTGTCAAACACAATAGACTTCACGACACATTACGGCTCAATCAAATGCTATAGTCGTGACGACACGTTATAGCTGTCAACCCCTATAGACTTGACGACACATTACAGCAATCAAACACTATAGACTTCATGACACATTACAGCTCAATCAAATACTATAGACTTCACGACACGTTACAGTTGTCAAACACTATAGACTTGCCGACACATTACAGCTGTCAGACAATATAGACATCACGACTCATTACAGCTGTCAAACACTACAGACTTCACGACACGTTACAGCTCAATCAAACACTATACACTTCACGACACATTACAGCTGAATCAAATGCTATAGACGTTACGACACGTTATAGCTGTCAACCCCTATAGACTTGACGACACATTACCGCTGTCAAACAATATAGACAGCACGACACATTACAGCTGTCAAAGAATCCACACATCCCGACACATTACAGCTGTCAAGCACTATAGACTTCACGACACTTTACAGCTGTCAAACTCTATAGACTTCACGACACACTACAGCTGTCAAACAATATATACATCACGACACATTACAGCTCAAACAAATGCTATAGAACACATTACAGCTGTCAAAGAATCCACACATCCCGACACATTACAGCTGTCAGACAATATAGACATCACGACTCATTACAGCTGTCAAACACAATAGACTTCACGACACATTAGAGCTGTCAAACACTATAGACATCACGAAACATTACAGCTCAAACAAATGCTATAGAACACATTACAGCTGTCAAACCCTATAGACTTCACGACACATTACAGCTCAATCAAATGCTATAGACGTGACGACACGTTATAGCTGTCAAACACTATAGACTTGACGACACATTACAGCTGTCAAACACTATAGACTTCACGACACGTTACAGCTGTCAAACACTATAGACTTCACGACACATTACAGCTCAATCAAATGTTATAGACTTCACGACACATTAGGGCTGTCAAACACTATAGACTTGACGACACATTACAGCTGTCAAACACTATAGACATCACGACACATTACAGCTGTCAAACACTATAGACTTCACGACACGTTACAGCTGTCAAACACTATAGACTTCACGGCACAGTACATCTCAATCAAATGCTATAGACTTCACGACACATTACAGCTCAATCAAACGATAAAGACTTCACGACACATTACAGCTGTCAAACACTATAGACTTGACGACACATTACAGCTGTCAAACACTATAGACTTCACGACACATTACAGCTGTCAAACACTATAGACATCACGACACATTACAGCTCAATCAAATGCTATAGACTTCACAACACATTACAGCTGTCAAACACTATAGACATCACGAAACATTACAGCTGTTAAACACTATAGACTTGACGACACATTACAGCTCTCAAACACTATAGACTTGACGGCACATTACAGCTGTCAACCACTATAGACTTCACGACACCTTACAGCTGTCAAACACTAGAGACATCACGAAACATTACAGCTGACAAACACTATAGACTTAACGGCACATTACAGCTGTCAACCACTATAGACTTCACGAAACATTGCAGCTGTCAGACCCTATAGACTTCACGACACCTTACAGCTGTCAAACACGATAGACATCACGACACATTACAGCGGTCAAACACTATAGACTGCACGACACATTGCAGCGGGCAAACACTATAGACTTGACG